CTTTATCAAGAGTCGCAAAAGATTTTCGAAGTCGATTCAAATTAGGAGTCCTGATATTTTGAAGGTATGAATCTAGTCTTAAAAGAGGGAAGATGTGTAAAGACTAGATTAATTTTAAGATTCCAATTTCAAATAGGATTAGATTATTATATGTAATTTTGGGGATTGGGATTAGAATTTAGAATTAGAAAAAGGATTGGAGTCATCTCTATTTCTGTATAAAAAGGGGGGGGCACCTTTGGCTTTGGGGAAAGGTAAAAAAATTGGGAGAAAAATCAAGGAGGGAGAAGGGAAAAAATTTGGGAGCCGGCAAATAGTGTGAAGTAAAAGAAGAAGAAATCTTATATTTTGAAGTTTGCAGCAAATAAATAAATTGGTTTTCTCATTTTCAGGTGTGTTTTCTTGAGAATATGGAAAATTTTGGATCTTGAACATCTTTTTTTTTTTTTTTTTTTTCGTTTCTTTTGTTTCTTAGTTGCTATATTAATCTGGAGGAAATTTTTATTGGGTGTATTCTTGTTGCATACATAGTTTCAGCCAGTGTTTTTGGGTCCGGCCCAGTGACTGACCCATTTTGGCCACCGGGTCCGGTTCAACCGGTTGAATCGGTTCACCCGACCAGTTCAACCGGTTGAATCGGTTCACCCGACCAGTTCAACCGATCAATTAAAAAAAACCCTTTTTTATGTTTATATTAAATTTTATTCTTATATATTATTTTCACTCTATTTTTAAGAAATAATTATCATAAAATCAACTTAAAAATTATCATTTAAGCAATTTAAAATAATAAATTTAATTAAATACATACAACTTAATTATTTTGACTTTTGATATGCTTTTTTTTTTTTTGAAGTTCATAGACCAATTTGAGAGAAAATAAACTTTCTAAACCAAAATGATAATAAACCTATAACTAATAGACTAAATGTTAAATTTAGGCCATTTCACTTTGCACAACAACCCAAAACTACCTATTTTTAACACGTGCATCTATCACCACCACCAATCATCCCCACACTCCTCAACCATTTTAACAATATCAGTAATCTTCCTCCTCCCCCCAATTTAACCCCTTTTTTTTTAAAAATAAAATTGAATAAAATCTTCCTGAATCTTGTTTTATATCCTTCTTTTGATCCTTTTTTTTCTGGAGCTTGATCTATCCTTTTCGTTTTCAATCTCCAAGAATCGGTTGAGATCGGATTCAGATGGCGGCGTCAAGACGGTTGCATGACCTCTAATCTTAACCAGGGAACAAGATGGAGGTGAAGTAGGGAGACCAGGTTGCGTTTGCTGCGGCTGCTCACGAAGGAGATGAGGTGGTGCCCGGCGGGTGGAATGGGTTGGGCGGTTGGCGCGGGTCGAACGATTCGAACGGGTTTGGACGGGCCAACTCTCAAAACAGGCCGAAGCATGTACTCGGCCCGTTTTTAAGCCCGGGTTCGGTTGAACCGGTCCAACCGGCCGAGCCGGGCCGGGTTTTAAAACAATGGTTTCAGCCTTTATTTGTTTGTCCCCAGTCCTATTCATCATTGGGTTTCATGGCTGTTTCCTTGTTTACTTAGAGTAATTTAATAAAATCAATTACCGTCATTTAGGATATCATTTAGAAGCTACTAAGATATGGGTACTGTGATTTGGTTTGTGCTCTGGTAATCTGAAATAATGACCAGATCTTGTTTTCTATCATAAAGTTTCTTTTTTGGGACTTGCAGTTCTTTGAAATGCATTAGAAAAAAAATGAAACGAAAAAAAAAAAATATATATATATATAAAGAAACAAAAGGAAACGGGAATGAGGAAAAAGGTAGATGATGATGAATAGTATTTGTTTAATTTTTCTGAACCTTTTTTTTTTTGGGTAGCTATTATTGATAAATAAAAAAAAGGAACAAAATAAATAAAAAAAAGGGAACGGAAAAAGACAATAATGGGGTTTTTGAAGTTTTTTATTTTATTTTATTTTATGTTCTTGGGTAATTATTATTATTATTTTGATATATAAAATTGAAAAATCCCCAAAATTAAAGTATGTGGTAACCATATTATTTGGAAGTTGTGGGGTGCCTAACACCTTCTCCATGCTTAATTGACCCTCCGAGCCTAGTCAATTTCTGTGTGGACCTTCTCCATCCATTTGGGCACGTCAACATTTTGGCGACTCCATTAGTGACCATTGAGGGGTCAAGCCATTTATACTTTGATTTTGGGGTTTTTCAATTACTAACTTTTGTTTTGTAGGTGGCATGAAGTATCTTGTAAGTTTTTTATTTTATTTTACTTTATTTTTTTTTTATTTTATATTTTGTTATTTTCATATGTTAACTTTGTGTATGCTCTGTTGACGACCACTTAAAATGGGGATTAAGTGTGAAAATATAAAAAGAAGGGAGTCGCCACTCGTCTAAATTATAAGGTGGGACAAGTCACCTAAAACGGATCCGCGCAGAGATCGGGGTTCAGGGGTTCGGTTAGGAGTGAGGAAGGGCATATGCGCACCTCACAATCCTCCGTTTAAACACGGTTGCATACTTTAACATTGGGGGTTTTAATTCAACTTATTTATTATCTTTATGTTTAAGTCTTAATAGGAAAAACTTAAAAAAAGGATAAACCAAATTGAAATATTTTTTAATTTTTGGACCAAAATAGACAAAATAAAAGACATGCATGCACAATAAACACAAATAAAAATTAAATGGACTGATTTGATTAAAATAAAAATAAAGGACTGATTTGAAAATGCTTGAAACTTTTGGATTAAAGTGCTTGAACATGAAAGGATTGTGCGAAATTGAAATAAAAGAGATAACTTTTGATTTTTTTTACTTTTTTAACCTTTTTAGTTTTTTTTTATTGGATTAAATCGGACTGACCCGACCCAAAAACACGATTCAAGCATAAAAATAGACAAAAAGAAGATCAAATATGCAACCAAAGCGGTAAAACTAGGATTCACGTAATTTCCAGTAACAGCAACACATTCATCAGACAATAAACTGAACAATTTTTTGCTGATTTTGATTTTCATTGATTTTTAAACGGAACATGTACAAGCTTGAACATTAAACAAAAAGATGCAGAAACATCAACCAAAATAAGAAAAGCATCCACGGCAGAGCTTTTTGGGTAAGATGGATCCAGATCAGATGGGAGGGATCCCACCCACGGGACCAGGCTCCTATCGTCTCCTTCACCATCGTTCCCAGAAGGCTCCTCTGTTCAGAAATTACCTAAAGCAAGCAACAGACACAGGAAAATAAGCCTCTTCTTCAATCGTCGTCAACCTCCAAAAAAAAAAAAATGTTCTCCTTCGTCAACACCACACCACCTTCAAAGACAAGCAAAATCTCCAAAACCCCCCCCCCCCTTTCTAACCAAAACCCTCTATTTATACCCATCAACGACCGAGCTTTATCTTATTCAAAAACGAGACAAGGTGCCAAGGAGAATCGGACAACCAGAGCAGGTACAAGATCGGGTTGCAGGATTGTGTTCCAGCCGGGGATTGCACGATTGGGGCATAGGTGATGAGTGCAGATCGGCTCGGGTAGAGGAGGGGTGATGAGTGCA